CATGCATTAATAAATGACTCAAACATAATAACTCACTACCAGTAAAAAGAGCCACGTTGCCCCAAGATAATCCCTTAAATACAAAATGAAGCAAATATGGTAATGCAATAATCAAAACAAGTAACTCAGTACAGGCTATTCTATTTTAGAATATCTTTTAACTCAATAGATGTTGAAACATACTACTTGTGTGAATCAAGGAGGTAAATGCACAAAACCTTTAATTACTAAGAGGGTGCCCAAAACGTGTCGCATGTGAAGGATGGAAAGTAATTCTCCCATCACTCTCATATCTTAATACATTTTACTTGATCAAAATTTCTTGTTTTCCTTTCTCTATTTTCGGAAAGCTTATATATTTAACATTCTCCACTCTTTATCCTAAAATCTTTGATTATTTATTTATTATAAAAGAAGAAAATCATTCAAAAGCCAAAATAAATATATATATATATATATATATATATATAGTTTATAGGAAAGCTTATATATTTAACATTCTCCATTCTTTGTCCTAAGATCTTTGATTATTTATTTATTATAAAAGAAGAAAATCATTCAAAAGCAAAAAAAAAAAATATATATATATATATATATATTCTCCTACCAAAACGACATAAGCCCCAAAAAAATCTAAGTAAAGTTTGTCAATCTATGTGTATACCTCAAATAAATGCCTCAAAAATGACCATCAGCACAAAAAAGAAAAATAACTAAGATGAGAACTTTGTCCCATATAACACAGCAATAAATTAACCTTAAAATTATTTGATCCTTTATTTAAATCACGGTTATCTGACTACCCAATTCCAACATACAAGGCAAACACAACTTCAAAAGGGGGTAACTTACCTCCCCCTATCCAGCATAACCCCAAAACAAAGAAAAAAGCAGAGAAAAGACAACACAGAGAAAACAGTAAAGCATACTACTACGTAGTTCTTTTAGAGTTAAAAGTATATATAATCAAGATTAGATAACCTTTTCCCAGCTACGCTTATTCCCGAAAATTTCAATGAAACACTCCAAAATAGAAATTCTGATTAGTTATTTACAAAATAACACCAAACAAGTCATAATCAAGAAATTGAAAAGAAGTGCAGGATTGAGTTTGACTTGTAGAGAAAGAAGAAAAGTAAAAGAAGAGTGATGAAAATGAATCAAAGAAAAATTTATCAACACTATAAACACTTGAATTTCTTCTTATATGACCCTACTTACATGACTTTTTTATTTTATTGTAAATTATAAAATAAAAAACTAATAAATTGAAAAGTATCATTATCCTTTGAATACTTTCTTTGTTTAGTTTACTGAAAAGTATAAGTATTAATAAAATACATTATGGTATAAAATACTAGTTTGATACTTCTATAACACAACATTAAAATAATATAAAAATTAGATAAAAAATAAAAACCAAAACAACAGTTAATTAATGGCCATTTTGAAAAACAATCAAATAATATAAAAATAAAGATATTTAAATAAATGTTTACAGTTGAGTCAATTAGATATTTTCTTCTGTATTATTACAATTGCATGAAAATTTGTTATTCAATTACTCTATAAATCTGAATAAAAAATAAATTGTATATTCAATTTAATATACAAATTATTAAAATTATATTGATTAAAATTATCTTAATATAAATACATATTTTTAATAAGAATTTCTTGAGAAACATTTGTATTTCGAAAAGAAAATTATGTTAGATATTGCCTAAAATATTTATGGAGAGATTTGTTAATTTAAATTTGCTAAATATTGAAATAAATAGAGGAAGGTTTTTTTGTGATTGTGATAAGAATTCATTTCAGTCATTGAAATAAATTAAATGGTCTAAATTAAAATATTACAAATAAATTTATCTCACCTTCATCACCATATCATTTTTGTTACTAAGGGAGTTTTCCAAGCAAATAGGTCGGTGTAAAATGTAGTGCAAAACACATAACCTTTCTAAGAGAGTTTTCCAAGCAAATAGGTTGAGGAAATGAGAATCTATGAAACAGTTTTTTGTCATTTTCTGTTTTTCTTCCACATATAGTAAGGAGGACTCTTATCCTCCAAACTCATTAAAAATCATAATGAATTTCTTCTTTTTGCAAAAATAAATAAATAAATTACAAGAAAAAATTAGTCGTAGAGCTCGAAATAGTACATAGTATAGATTACAATAAAATTATGTTCAAATCAAATAAATTACTTAACGACAATTTGTTACACATCAGGACAAAAAAACAGTTTAGACAATTGAGACTGATGTTAGATGTCTCATAACATATTAAACTAAGATGTTTGATGATAGATATATCTATGTTTCAGTAAACAATTGATACACTTATACTCGAATGTTGGATTGAAAATAAATCACTTGATACTCTTGTTCACATAAGTTTTGCCTTAAACACACATGGTGCACTTGACATATTTATCAAACATGGTCTTTTAGAAAGGATTGTTATGCCTGAACGCTTTAATTTAAAGGCCTACTTTTGCAATGCCACCTTTAATCAATCCAAAAGCCATATTAAAATAGTCTAACGAGTAGCATTAGTAGTGGTAATACATATTATATAATGAATTATTTAATTAAATAAACCAACCCAACCAGCCTAAATGGCCTTTTAAGATAATAAGGATTTTAAAAAAGTCAGCTAAATTTCTTTTTTAAAATGGCAAGGTAATCAGGTAATAATTTCATGGATAATATGTTTTTGCGAATTTTAAAATTTACAAGAAATTTTCCTGCGAAATTTCTTACGAAAAAAATTCGCAGGAAAGTTTCCTGCAAAAAGAAATTCATAAGAAATTTTCCTACGATTTTTTCACAAGAAATTCTGCAAGAATATTTTTTACGAAAAAAATTAAAGAAATTACTATAAATTCTATCAATAATTCTTCAACTTTCAAATGCTCACAATGAATTCATCTGAAACACTTGTTTCTAAGTCTCCAACATGTGATGCATAATCTTTTAAATTTTAATATTGTAGATTATAAATCTTAACACTCAACCATACAATGTAAGGTAAGTGTTACCCTAACTTATATACTCTTTAATTGTTTTATTTTCAATCGATGTGGGACTTGAGGTTTTTTTAAAATATTAAACTTATAAATTTAAATATTTTTTTAAAAATTAAATAATTTTTTTTTTATTTTTCCTGCTGGCATGAAAAGTTACCTGCAAAATTTTTCTACCATTTAGTAAACATTACTTGCGAATTTATTTTTGCAAGAAAATCTGCAAGAAACAAAATAAAATTCTTACAATACTTTCTGCAAATTTTTACAATGAAAAAAATTTCTATGATCATTAAAATAGTAGCAAAATTTGCAAAAATTTCTTGTAGATTATTTTTCATAAAAAAATTTGTAGGAAATATCTTTAAATTATTTTTTGTAAATAAATTCGTAAAAAAATTTTGTGAAATTATTATTACAAGAAAATTCGTAAAAAATTTATACGAATATTTTTTTTGCAAAAAAAATCACAGGAAAATGACATTTTTATAGTAGTGTAAGAATCAAAAGCAAAATTTATTAATTTTACGGATACCAAAAATAATATTTCTAAATTTTAGAAGAAGAAAAAGCAAAAAAAAAATTATACGAATAAAATCAAAATTTATTCCTTTTACAAAAATTAAAAATATATTTAAGCAATAAAACATTATCTAATTTTTCAGTGCTAAGTTAATTTATTAAGAGACTAACTTATGTAGTGTTTGATTCAGAAAGAGGAAAACTTGCAAAAACCTCTCTCCTCCTTTATTCAAAAGTGGTTCTCCTTCAATATTTCTATATTTTATTTAGCTACGATGAAATTAAGCTCTTCCATGATTATATTCTTATTCATCTAATTAAAGGAGGAACTTTACTGTTTACAGTGCTGCATATTTGCTTCAAACTAGAAGTGTTTAAATCGAAACTTATATCATTTGGTAGTTGGTATAGTATGCGTGTGCCATTTAAAACACTACGCAAATATATTGCTTCAAACAAGTATTGCATGGTTTTCATTGCAATTTACACATGTAAAATTTTCAGAGTCAACTTCTGCTTCTTTGAACTTTCAACTTCAAGTAGATCTGATACAAAAACGAACCCATCTAGCATGTGTCCCATTCAATTTGTTTTGCCAACAGAAACCAAAACAACTTGACTTTTTCACTTCAACAAAACAAAGCGTTTCTTTAAATACTTATTGTTATTATTCGTTGTAACTTTAGTTTAGGAATGTGTACTAAAAGTTTGCATTATAAAATCAATGTAGGTTACTTCAGTTAAACATTAATTTCTGAATAGAGATCAATACTACAAACAGCTAATAAATTGTCTCTAAGGGAATATTTGATAAAAAAAAATAAAAAATAAAAAATAAAAAAAAGAAGGGAAATTCTTTCGTACTGACAAATCATAATTTTCAAAAATGATTATATTTATTTTATAAGTCATAAATATCATTGAAATGTTTATAAATATTACTAAAAAAAATAAATATTTTTACTGCATTATCTAAACAAATTAAGATAATATAATACTTTTACTGTAATAAAATATTCATTTTAACTCAGAAATGTTATATTCTCACCTAATCTATAAAAAAAAATGGTAAAAAACTTGTATAAGAAGCATTCTCAAAAAATCCATGTTATTTTTTAGATGATAAACTAAATTTAAAAACCAACATTCTCATCTTCAAATTCTTGAAAACATAAAAGTATTTCGCATATAAAATAAATAAATAAATAAATAAAAATTAAATAAATAAAAAAACAGAAAACTATAAATTAAAGTCATAACCAAACAAAAATTTCATCATCTCTCTGCTGTTGTCGGTTGGTGTAGGCAGATTGAAATTGTTAATACTATCAGAAAAGAAAAAATTGTTTATTTTATCCATTTCATGCTTAATCGATAATCAACATTGAACCAAAGAGCTTATCTTCCCCTACGTGTACAACAATTTGAAATAGGACACAAACAGTAGATATATGGAATCAAGTTGTGGAGCAAATAACAGTACACAATCAAGTCAGAACTACTGCCAAAAAACAAGGAATATGATCACTTCACATACTACTTTTTGGAGTTTATACATAATGATTAACTTAAAAAAATGGCAAGTACAATGAAGCCAAATATCAGTTTTTTCATCATCTCCACTCCCAAGCAGACAAAAATGGCTGCAAATTAGCAGTCATGTAAGGAAGAGATTGGCTCAGCAGACATATGTACAACATTAACTAGTGCACTCACCCTCACTTCATCCTCATTGCAAATTCAGTGTATCATATCCTCCAATAACCATGTTCAATAAGAAAATGCTTAATTGTCCAAATGAGCTATCTCCAACTTGATTCTCTTCTCAGATTTGATTCCCTTCTCGGATGCGGCAAAAAAATTCTCAAAACAAACTTGAACATATACGGTTTTTGATTGGTTATTGCAATTGAAACAAAGCCAATTGTACATGCTGGTTAAGTCAAGTGTGGTTGTCAATCCTACCCTTTAGTTGTTTCTGGTGCATATCCTTCAGAACCCTTCACCTTTTCAGCATCAGATGGACCAGAAATATCCTTCAGAGATTCAATTTCCATGCTGGCAGTGCGGCTCTTTCTATTTCTTCGATCCTGAAAGTGACATAAAGTTATCAACTAGATGTTTAGCTTAAATTAACTAGAGAGGATCATGGATCCATGACATTCAACATTTGGTAAGTGATAATTAATCATGAAAAGGTCATCACACTTAAAAGGATGAATTCTGAGAATAAATTCGGGAACAGGTTATTCAATGTTAGATATTCAAGTTCAATAACAATTCCACACAAACAGAAGCTGAACACAAAACAGATATTAAAAATGGCATTTCCACAACAGTTATACTACAATTGGCATTGTGTTTGAGCATGAAGCGAACATGCAAAGTCATCCTCAACACTCAATAGTGCAGACAGACAATAACATTAACAGCTTATCATATCACCCACTAGAATATTATGCACAAAAAGGCTATGGAGAAAGTATATATTCCCAATGACACTACACAACAAGAAATCAATCTTTCCCTGATTCTGACTTATGCTGAAAGGTGAACAAAATTACAAGAAACTAAATACGTAGGTTCGATAAACTAAGAAACTAAAAAGAAAATGTTTTTCCAATCATTCTAGTTGATGACATGTTATGTTAGCTAGCAAATAGAAAACACAACATCCAAAAGTTCCAAATTGTTATAAAAGGTTCAGATTCCAATACAGTAAAAGATATATATATATATACATATATGAGAGGATAAGATAATGAATGGAACCTCTCGGAATGGATATTCGTCGGCTTCAAGCATCCTTACAACCTGACTCATTTTTGGCCTTTTTTCTGATTCAGGATCAACACACCTAAGTGCAACCAGAAGAGCACGCTTTAATGCACGCATTGATGGTTTCACTTCAAGCCTCAAGTCCACAACTTCTTCGGCCCTCCTTGTCCCCACCATCATCTTGAGCCATTCAACAAGATTCACCTGTCATGACGATGATCAAAATTTTATCAGTCATATACAAAAAGCAGTTATCACTTCTCATGGAAAACAAAGAAGTTAGAAGCAGTAAACTGGAAGCACTGATTAAGTATTTCAAACCTCATTAGAAGGACGTGAATAGTCCACAGGATCCCTTCCGGTAACTGCCTCTAGCAGGAGAACACCAAAGCTGTAAATGTCGCTCCTCTCATTTAACAAACCCGTATTAGCATATTCTGGTGCCACATAACTGAAATTGGGAACAGGAGTAAGTTTCCATTCATGCAATCCTTTAAATAAAATCTATAAGTAGAGACTGAAACATCCTGCATACCCAAATGTTCCCATTACTCTAGTAGTAATGTGACTTTCGCCTGAATCCAAAAGTTTGGCTAAACCAAAGTCAGAAACTTTTGCATTGAACTCGTTATCAATCAATATGTTGCTAGACTTTATATCCCGGTGAACAACTTTTGGTTCTATTGCTTCATGCAAGTAAGCTAGCCTGCCACCATGATAGTAAATAGGGAGTTAATCAGTGTGATAAAATTTAATGTTGAAACTGCCATAACAGTAAATTAGGTATCCAATGAAGCAAGCACAAACATAAAACCATAGAAAACATTAAAATATTGGGAATAGGTCCCATGTGCACTAAGTTTAGGGATTCAACCAATGATCCAATCAAGCAGATAGTTGTGTTGTCCCGAATCCTAATGGACCATATAAAATGCAAAACTTGTGAACAAGTAGCCTATAAGGCTATAACATAGCAATATCAACATACAATCAAATGAAATTGATGACATACTTTGATATGCATAAAAAACTCAGTTGAATTTTGAAACTGTAAGTTTAAAAAAATTTACAGTCAACCAAATAGAAATCACTCTACATATGACTTTTAAAATAATTATTACAAAAGTCAACAATTTTCAATTATAAAACATCCTATAATTGGATGATAGTATAAAATACTAATAGTGTCAGCGTATTCCAATTAAATTCAAAAAACTATTCATAAAATATTTAGTGAACATGTAAAAATTCATGAAGATATGTTTTTATATGAAAGTTTGCAAGGGATTCAGGGCAATCACAATTCATACAAACCAATTTCACACAAGTCAACAGAAATAATTAATGTCCTCTGTCTGAATTATTCAAGTAAAACTTACGCTTTGGCTGTGCCAGTTATAACCTTCATCCGAGCGTCCCAGGTAAATGTCCCCTGTTGGCTCATAGCCCCATGTAGCCATTGTTCTAAGTTACCATTGTTGACATATTCATACACCAGCAACCTGCAAATCAGATGGCAACCACATTTATTATGAAAGAAAAAAAAAACTATATATCAAATAAAAGGGTTTCGGATCAAATTTTTTACAAAAAAAAAGTAAGACTATCACAAAATAAAGCTTGTAATGTGATCAAGTGTAGAAGGGTAAGTGAGCATTTGTGATTGTTTGATACATTAAGTACACCAAGTTTACCTGTGAACTCCTTCTACACAATAACCAAGTAAGCGCACTAGATTTTTATGTCTAACATGGCCAATAGCCTCTACTTCCACCCTGAATTCTTTCTCTGCTTGTCCCCTGTAATATGAATTCAACACATTATGCAATTATGGAACAAGTTCAGTGGTTGTTGTTCAATTAAGAATTAGCGGCAATAAGATGAGAACCACAGGATAAAAAAAAAAAAAGATGGCACCCATGCTACCATCAAGTGTTCTTACAAGTTGTTAAGAATTTTCTTCACTGCCACCTCAGATCCATTGACTAATCTTCCCCTGTAAACAACCCCATATCCACCCTCACCAATCACATTATCAGGAGAGAAGCGATTAGTTGCGAGTTCCAGATCTCTAAGTGTAAACCAGTGGCCCCACCCAAGATGAGATATTTCTGGCAAGCCAACTAGAGGAGAGGCGGTTACCATTCCTCCATAGGACAATGTAGAGTGCTTCTTAAAAGTCCCGGAGCTTCCTTCTTCCCCCGACATTGAACTAAATCCTCGCTCGTGATGATAAACTGAGCTGCACTGACTGACATTATCAGCATCGCTGGACTTGCTCATGCGCAAATGAACTAACAACTTATCCGAATTGTTCTCATTTGCTTTGTCATGAACAGGAATAGCTACACTTTCTGCTTGATCATGAGACATCTGCACCCCAACCTTGTCAACTTTGATATCTTTTGAGACATGTGGTATTTGGGATAAAGGGTACTTGTCCAGAGATCTCTTAGACTTTCTCCGAAACATAAACCATATAGATAATACACAAAGAATCAGAACTATAAAAGCACCAACACCTATCCCAATCAAAACCCATAATCTCAATCCCAAAAATGAAGTCTTCTTCGATAATTCCACATGCAAAGAACTGTTTCCTGACATAGTTGGATGCTACAAGACGATCAAATATGTCCTCCAAATTCTTCAGAGAGTAGAATCAAGACATTCCCACCTGAGTGCAAGAACATAGTTAAGTGCTCCCTTTACACAAACTTTCGACACACACATCTGAACATTCTAATTTACAGCCACGTTTCACAGTTCATGCAGTGTATCCCCATAAACAAAAACAAAACAAAACCAGCAACCCATCTAATCATTAATTGCAGCTTTTATTAAAATCATACACAATCTGGCAGCAAACTAAATCAAATTGTGGGAACTCAGATACTCTAAACCAAAAAGTAATACAACACTTAAAAATTTAACAAATCAGCAACCCATTTGCGTTCATGTCACTCCAATCTGAAAAGCCACATTAAATTCACAATTCAAAGTAAGGATCCCTTCGCCATCCCAATCAATTCTAATCACACGCAAAAATCCAACACTAAAAAGTAAACTTGTAAAGCATCACTTATGATCCAAGCAAACCCAAATGCCAATTCTCCAAAAATAAAACCAAAAAGTGACTCTTTAAGCACAAAGCACTCACCTTTATGTTGATCTAAATCATCCTCCTTGATCCTCTATCTCCAGCACCCACAGAATCAACAAAGGGCCTTCTCTCTGAACCCCCAGAAACCCAATGAGCATAGATAGCTATTAGGTGCAGCAACACCAAAACAAAGCCCTACAAAGCCCAGATGTTGCAAAAAGATGCAGTTTTTGATATGTAGTTAACAATAAGGGATTGTGACCTCAAGTGGGTCACAAATAAACTCAAGGCAGGACTAAGATACCAATAAATAAATATTAAAAAAAATGAAAATTTTATGGTAATGCCAGACAAAAATCCTATTATTATGAGGAAAAAAATGTAAAGAGAGTAAAAATAGTAGATTTTTGAAAAGGGGAAAGCAATGGTGGGGAAAACGGTTGGTGGGTACTGTGCTTAAGGATGAGAACGGGACCTAACTAGCTGGAAAGGAAGCCTGGTTTGTAATAGCGGAAACCAATTGAAAGAGAGAAGAGAGAGAAACAGTAAAGGCAAAGCAAAAATGTAATAAACAGGTGAAGCATTTATAGCTGGAAGCAAAAAGTGTATTCAATAAGCTAGCAAAAAGTAAAGTGAAGAGAGAGAAAGAAGCGTGTGTTGATGAGAGAGAGAGTCAACCTCAATCCAACAGGGTCGAACTCCGAACCAAATCTAGCTTGTTCTGAGGTATACTTACCAAACTGTCCTATTTGTGTGAAAGGAAAATAAAAAATAGATAAATAAATAAATAATGCTTATATTGCAAACCTTAAAAGCATTTTCTTTTTTCTTTTTTCTTTTTACGGTAATAAAATGTCTAGGAGGCAAGCTGTAACAATGCAACATGGGAAAAGTTCAGGATTTAAAATGGATTTATAGATGATTTTATATTTACTTTACTTTATTAGAGATCTCCCGTTAATATTGGTATAAAAAAAATCTCGCATTAATTAATAATTTTCTTTAACTAGTTTTAGAAATTGATTTAGACTTAAATTTAAGTTTTATGATAAAATCAAAATTTATTCTAATAGTTATTATTTGGTCTATAAACAAATTTAAAGAGTTTATAATTTTTTAATTAATTTATAAGTTATTAAAATAAATTTATTTAGTACGAGAATATTTTTATAAATTAATACGATGCTATCAATTGTTTGAAGGCATTCTTGTTGAAATTACTTAAGCCTACTCATAGTGCATTTTCTCACTCTCTCGTGCATCAACTCTCTCTTTCTTTAAGAAATTGTTAACCAATGTTTATATAAGCTACTCTGAAAAAATAAGCAATACCAACTCACTTGCCCCAACACTAAAACAAGTTAAACATCGAAACTTAACTCTAAGCCCCTGTTTGGATCTATTGATTTACTATTTACGTAGAAGGAAAGGCGAAGAAAATGGGTATTTGTTTCCGGTAATTTGCAACGATGGAAAGGCGAAGAAAAGGGGGAAGAAGCGTCGTTGCCATCCTCACACAAAAACGAAGAAAAGAGAAGAAAGCCACGTAAGATTTGTGAAAACCCAGAAATACCCTGCCCAAAACCTGAAAAGAGATGAAAAATTGAAGAAAAATATACTACCATAATCGATTATGCACCATACATAATCGATTATGGACTGGCATAATCGATTATACTGAGGCATAATCGATTATGCCAGTGCATAATCGATTATGTATGAGCATAATCGATTATGCAGCGCATAATCGATTATGTACGAGCATAATCGATTATGCGCTGCATAATCGATTATGTACATACATAATCGATTATGCAATCTTGTGAACACTTGGGGCTTCCGCTGGTTGGAATACTCCTTCGAGTTAAAAACTTGGTGGATTTCATATATTCCTTTGGTACCATTGTTATAAGCTTCTGCATGAATATAACCATGTCAACATGCAATCTGTGTAAAATATATATCTAGCTAGTATATGAAGCTATATAGCTATAGGTTAATATATTATATATTGGAAAGATTATATATTTTATTATTTAAATATTCACATCAAAAAGTAGAAATATAAAAAAAAAATAATACATGTTTATAAAATTAAAATAATAACACTTTCATAAATATTAATAAAATAATGTTAGAAAATATAATTATCATAATATATTTTATTATTATTATTTATTATTGTAAATATTATTATTATCATTATTATTAATATTATTATTATTTATTATAATTAGTATTATTATTATTTATTATGATTCTTATTATTTTTCTAATATTTATTATTATTCTTATCATTATTTATTATTTTTTAAAAAATATACTTATTAAGATAATTTTATTGTAACTATTATTATTTACAATAAATAATATTATACTCATTTTTAATCCAAGGATAAAAGTATAAATTATATATTCATCTATTAAATTTTTAATTTTTATCTATTATTAAATTTAAAGTAAATATTTAAATTAAATTATTTTTAAATTAAGATTTTATATTTATTTTTTAGTTAAAATTTTTATATTTATCTTTTAATTATAATAATTATAAACTTTTTTTTAATCCAAGGGCAAAATAGTAATCTTACAAAATTATCAATTAAAAAATTTATTTTTATCTATCACATCAATCAATTCACTCACAAACTTTCACAAACTTTCTCTACACTTTCCCTTAATCCAAACAACCTCACTTTCCACTCACTTTCCCTTCAAATCCCTCCTTTTCCACTCCTCCTTTTCCATCCTCAAATCCAAACAAAGCCTAAGGAACCGAGATAAGATGTTCGGTTGGAGATGTTTTTATAAACTTTCAGTTTTTTTAATTTCTAATTTATAAGTTATAAATTTTCAACTAAATTATAAGTGCTTAGTAAACTCATAAAATAATTTACTAAATGCACCCTAATTTATTAACACACCTTTCATTATGTTGAATCTTATAAATTTCAATAAAAAAAAACATCATCGTTGGTCTCAAATTTTAAAATAATACCATAAAAAGGATTAGAGATTTGAACATAAAACCTATAGAATGCAAAATTTGTCATACATTACTCTACCAACCTTTTTTAATTATCTAAATGTCCACCTCAAAATAGGATGAATTAAAAAAAAGTTATTAATTAGTCTTTAATTATTACTAAGTTCATTGCCCTAATTTATCTTTAGTGACATGTAATTGAATCTTTTTATTTTAAAAAATTACTGATATTTAATTACATCTCATTTCATGCTAGGATTAATTTTTTTATATATAAGGGCATCTTCAATGGAAATAAGTCATTTAAGTTGCTTTATGCATTGAAAAATAAAAATAAAATGATTTCTAGTGTGTCAGTGTCATGTCAACATTAAACAACTCAAACACAAATTTACTCCAATAGTAAGAAACTTTAAAAAATTTAAATTTAAATTTAAATTTTTTTTCTAATCATTTATGAACCAAATTTAAAATTTTATTAAAAAGGATAATTGCACTACAATGAAAGAAAATAAATTACGAGAAAAAATATATTAAAAATAAAATAAAGTAATAGTAAATACATAAACATTATACGAAATTAATTTTCATCATCATCATTTTCTGAAACGTTTTCAAATATGTTCGATAAGATTTGTTTAAAATTTAGTAAGGAAAAGTTGTTTGAGGAAGTAATTCTCTCTCTTTTTCAAGCAACTCATGTTGTCACATCAGAGTGCTCCAACGGCAAGAAACTGGGACTTGAATTACTTCATGAAACAAGCAACTGCCATTAAAATTACTCTAAGCATGCAGAGATTAGTTGGGACTGAGGTAGTCTAAATTATGTAATTATAATTTTCCATGGATTAAAATAGGAAATAAATATAGAAAAAAGAGAAATGTAGAAAGTGATAAATATAACAAAAAAAATATAATAATCAATATAATAAATTTAAAATGGAACAAAATGAAAAAGCAAATGAATAAAAAAAAATTTCTCCAATAAGCATAGTTTTAAAAACGGATCGATTAGACCAATTCTACAAAGAATTAATTCTTAATATGTTCAGTTAGCATAGAAAATCATTTTTAAATGGTGAAAAATTGATAGAACCTATCAATATTATAATAAATATTAAATATAGTCACATGTAAAAAATGTCATTATAGATACAATATATGTATGTACATATTTATTTGACATATAGTTACACGCAATTTTAATGTTAATTTTGAATGAGATTGAACAATATATTTTGTATATCACTATAGTCTATATCCACATTTTTAACAATATATTAATATATATTATATTTATTGTGTCATTATAAGGTGTATGTCACAATATATGATAATTTTCTTGTAGTGCAAACTAATAAAATTGGTAAAGAAAAAAGGTCAAACCAATTAGAAACTAGTCCAATTAAAAAAATATTTTTTAAAATTTTAATTTAAAATATTTTTAATAAATTAGAGTAACTTATTTTTAATATTTATCTTATAAATACAATTTAGTCATTTATATTAATTTATCTTTTTAATATCTTTATTTTTAAAATTTTATATTACATCAATTTGATAATTTTTATTCTAAATATAATCTTGTTATCATTAATGAATATTACTATATTTTATTAAAATTTAAACTTAAATATCTATTATATTTAGTTTAAAGTTTTGCATATATATTAAATATTAAAGACTTATAAGTAATATTTTAATTTAATTTTTAATATTATAAAATTAAAATAACATATTATTTAATACTATTTTTATTGATAATAATAATAATAATATTATTATTATTTTATTAATATCAATTTAATTACAATTTAATCATAATTAAATCACTAAATCTTAATCTAAACTAATTTAATAATCATTCCAATATTGAAATCATAGCTTAAACAACTGTGTCTGTCCCTGCACACTAATAATAATGGTGATGCAATTGACAGTGGAATCTGGGTTTTGGACACCCCATGAGTCCCAAGGGGTCACAGAAAATTTTTGACATTTCTTGAATTGTAGCTGGCAATGCCATTAACATTTATGTTCTGACCTTTTCTTTTGGTTGCTTGCAGATCTCAAATTCCAGTAGTGGCACAGTTTTAGATTGTTTCCTTCTACTCAATGTCATGCCACTGCAACCTTGCCAGCCATTACCTACCTTCCTCATTCACTTGCACATGGAACTTTATATTAAAAATAAACAACACATTAAGCTTCTATAAACTGAATTTGAACCATGGCTAAATTAGTCATTTCATATGTTGCTTTATTTGATTTGTTCCCTTCTTATTAAAAGGTTGAATTTCATTTCTTCATTTTTTTAAAATAATGTGGATATTATTGTTGTCTTTTTTAGACTAATAAAGTTAATTTGTTGATGTGGGGTCTTTAATAATGATAAAATAAAATAAAAATGATGCATAACATGTACAAAAGTTTATTGTTGTTACTCTCAATTAGAAAGGAAAAAAAAAACAAATTGGACTTTTTATAATAAAGAACTAAATTAAGGATAACTGTATAATTAAGTTGGTACCCACTGATTTCATTGGGCTAATGTTTTTTTTTATATTATTATTATTTTATTGATAATTGCGTGTGGCTTTTAGTTTCCATCATTGGAATTTAGTAATATGGTAATATATTAATTGAAATACAATTTGTTGCCC